AGCGTTTGTATCGAAATCGAAAACGACAACATTTTCTCTTAATTCTGACCCTGTTTCGTATAAGATTGACTCTGGAATTGCGTAGACCAAAACATGACATCCAAACGAAAGTACACGGATTATTATTAATGCTTTTCGAGAAGATATCCATTTCAAGAGGAAAAGCAACCCCTGCCCAACCACGCATCAAACCCAAGCTGCCTATTAAGCGTCGCTTGCCCCGCGACGTCTGCACACGGACGGCCAAGCAGCTTCTTCGCAGCGTATAGGCTCGTCAATCTCTCGGGAAGACTTTCATTTTGTGCTAATGGGGGGAGGGTCAGAATTGAGATATTGTACGAAAGCTATCACCACTTAAACGAAGCCAAAATGACCCGACATCTCCCAAAATATCACCCCGGTCAGAATCGAAATGAATAACCATTCTCGTTCTCGCCGCATGCAACCGTGAGGTTCAGCGGAAGACGCTTTGCACGTACGTAGGGGGGGGCTCCGTACTTCTACATGCTTTCTTGTAGCGTTTATAGGTGTATGTATGGGTCGATCACTATGTAACATGCAGGGATCTCACTTGGGTTTCTATGTAAAAGGAAAGATATTTTATCAACCCACCCATCCCATAATCTCGTGAAGTGGATATTTTAGGAATATTTATAAACCCCACTCATCCCTATGGCCTAAAAATACACCCTCTGCTGATTGGCTCCCTAATAATAAATAGATGTCCCGAAAGGTCGCATTTCTTGTCCACTTTTCACCCCACACCCCAATTTGATGACATGAAGTGCCTTGTAACTTTTGTGGACGGCCCCATTCTTTGTCCTATCGAGGCGTATGACCGTGCCTATAAAGAGTACAGAGTAAACAGCTTGAGATGACACTGCAACCGACCGCACAATATCGTCGTTACGATCAAGCGTACCTTTCTGCCGACCAGAAACAAAGGAAGCAGCGTGGGTTTGCCGTTAAGCATAAAAGCAAACAGCGGACACCCATCCTACATCAGTTCCACTATCACCGCGCCCCTCTGACAGTGGATGACGCCGACGTCGATGGTGTCTACGGAAATGACTCATCACCGGTAGTGTACTGTAAATCACCTTTTCCGGGGATGGGTACGGCGTATTTGCTTTAACGTTTTGCTTCGGCGGATTTGGAACTGGGGGGGGACATTTTAACATTGTATTCTGGCGAGCTTTCGAAGAGCAAGCCGTCTGACAAGACATGCGTCATCGCAACTGGTAGTGTGTTAATTGGTGGTCTGCGTAGACCCGTTCCGGAAGAAGGTCTCGCAAGTTCTGTGAGCCGGGAGACACGAGATGTGTCAATGAAGCGAAAAAAAACTGCGAACTTGTTAGCAGTTGGACTGGAAGTCATAGGCTCTACGTGGAGGTGACAAAAAAAGATAACGGTAGTCGCGGAACTTCTAACGACCTACAGCCGTGGGTATAGATTTGGCTAGATTCGCAGGCGATTCGGCAACTATCTACCCGACATCTAGTATTACTATTAGTAAATGTCCTCTTCGACTTGATTTTTGTCATTTTTATCTTTGTTGCCCCCAATGTTGACAAGGCGCCCTGGATATGGATGTACTCCTCCAGTTCCTCTTCGTCGACGTTCTTAGCGTTGAAGAAGATATACACAAGGTTTCCACGCGGTCTGGATCCACTTGGTTGCGGAGCTTCGAATAGATGAATCCATGCGTGGAGAAGTTTCGTTTAGCAGCAGATGTCGACCCAACACCTGAAAAGCTGCTTGGCAACGTTTTGCAGCAAGTTAAACTTCTTCAAACCGCACCAGATATCGTGAACCGGAAGCCTCCGCTCGATCAAGGCTTTTACTACCGCGAAGAGATGTCTTTCAGCTCAGCCACATACCGGTGGTATGAAGCTTGTTGGATGAGTACATTATCAGCGTTGTCCTCACCAAACCATTACGAAAGGAATGACTCCACGACAGACCTTGTAGACACGGTCATGTCATCTCCACAGAAACGTGGATCAAGAAGATATGCAAGGCCGTGTGCGTCTCCATACACGAAATCAAACTGCTCTATGATGATCTCCTCCACGGTCTTGAGCTCCCGCTGGGTAAGCTTGCAAGCAGCAAACGCTGGTGGCAGATCTAAGAACGTTCAATACACTTCCGATATTGGGGTGCTGTCTTTATCACACTTCGTGAGGGCTTGTCGATAGCACTAAGAGGTAGAGCCCCTCGCTTAAGCTGGGGGACATATTCGCGACTCGTGACAAGATTCTAGGTAAAACGTCCTCTTGTGCCGCTGACCTTTTGGCTTTGCGCTCTGGAAGCCTCGTGCAGAAACCATGTAGAACATTGTCGATTCGGAAGCAAAAAAGGTGTCCAAGCAGGCCAGCAGCGATCCCCATCTAGTGCCACAAGGCAGCGCGAGAGAGCGAAGTTTCTTTGCTTTCTGCTTGCGATGTAACTGAAACCAGAGCTTGCGGCTCCGCTTACGAGCTTCTTGCAGTTAGCTTGCCGTTCACTCAACCAAGAAAGACGGTTGAGCAAGTCTTGTTCGAGGAAGTGCAGGGCATGGCACACGCATCCGTGGAAGATGATCTTCGGAAACTCACTCTGTAGCTCCATCCACATTGCCTTGCTAGCGTGGGTATTGTCGGTGATGACGCTTCCAAACTTGATACCCTTGAATTTCAGCAAGACGCGCTTCACATCGGCAACCATGAATGGTATCGTGACTCTGATATTTGGTGTATTTGGACTCCAAGTAAAAGGACAGATTTCCGGACACCGTCATGTAGTTGATCACAGACATTCCGTTGATATCAATCCAGCCGTTGATCGCCAAGGTACCAACTCGACCCGCCAGACGAACCGTTAGACGGTTGATGTACTTCTCGTAAGACAAGTCAAGCAATGGATTTGCTAGCTGGGGAGCGGACGGCACACGGCTTCCTGGATTGAGCACTTGAAGAGCCTTGAGCGATGCGCGGTGTTCCATCTTGTAAAACGGCATCCCGGTGGTATACATCCACCACGCATACCGCCTCTCGAACTCCTGCAACACCGAGACATTCATTTTCGGTTGGTAGATGTCGGTGATTTTGTACGACGACGGCCGCTTCAAGCATCTGCTATATACACGCTTCTCGACATGCTCGACATGAGTTTGTCCTAAGCTATGGACTAACTCGCCACAACACCTACACTTCACGTCCTTGTCTTTCACATCCATCAAGTCCCTAACCGCCTTTCGGTTCCGGTTTTGGGCTGGAGCGGGAGACGAAATGGCTTGAGGGGGGGGGGGGGGGGCTCACTGGTTTTTGACAAGGTCAACGACGTTGGAGGTTATGGCAAAGATGCCACGAGGCTTGGGCTGGTTTCGATTTGTGTGGAAGAAGCAAAATGAAAACGGCGAAATTTATAGACACGAATGGTAGCTCACCTCTAGATAGAAGTGGGTGGCTGTGATCGATTCTTTTTTTGTGTGACGTGAGACGTATGAAAAATATAAAAAAAACATACTACACGCCTTGTATGCGGCTAGCAAGCATTCGGGAGCCTTTGCATCACCCAGCATCGTCTAAGCGTGCGTACAAGACGTAGTTGTGCTCTGGCACACGATGGTGCACAATCATGCTGTAAGGTGCTACATCGAGCCGCTGCGGCAACATAGAAAGGTACAAATGCAGGTTCTAGAAGTGGAACAGGCTCGTTCCCAGGGTTCGAGAATAAAAACGGATTTTGTCACTCGTAGGTGGGATCAAGAAGCCTTGGGGTTAATTTAGTCACCCAGCTCTATCTCTCATACATCATTTCGTAGAATTTACTTTATTTACATGTTATTAATAGTCCATCTCACGTCACAGAAGCGAAAATTGATGATATAATAAATAAGATCAAGGATCGAAAGGCTTACATATTATGAAAATAAAGAAGTGACGAAAACAGCTGACCATCATTTTTTAATAAATGAAAATTTTCCGACTAAGTCCATTTTTGTTTGAAGTCGTATCTCGGATGTATTTGTAAGAAAAAAGACAGTTTTAGAAAGCCTGCATTCTCAAGTTTATTAGGTGGTGTTCGACTTTAAATTGCCAAATCGCGTAATTAACGCGCCGGCTGAAATTGTTGTGTACGCATCAACAAAGCAAGTACAGCATCAATAATCGTAGCCAACCAATTGATTGTAACACCACAGTGCTAAATAGAGGTAGATAGCCTGCTTGTCGGTTGCAGGATCATTCCCAAAATGGTTGGAGACGATGATGAAGATGAATTATGGCCTCTACAGGCTGTAGGAGCTCTATTGGAGGCTAATCAAAAAGGAGTATTACCAGCTACATTCCCAGTGCCTCGCCTTTTGAACCAAGAGAGCAAACGCTTTTTCGATGACATCTACGAGAGCGATAATCCTGAATAGCTGATTCTCTTCTTCTTGTGTTCAAGTCCGACGCTTCTTTTTGGCTGCAGCAGTCATGGCTGCTGTCTTTTCATTTCGTAGTAAATCAGCGATTAGTGCACATTTGTTGTCGAGTTGCATATCTTGAATGAAAGTGCAGTTTCATGTCAAAAGTAGCTGTATGTGACCCGATCCAGCTTTTATATCGTGAAGTCGAACACGACCTTAGGAAGGGAGGCAGAATTGACTTTTTTGCAAGCATTTTCTGGCCAAAATGACTACTTTTCTCTTATGGTTAGCGATCACTTACATTTCGAAAACCCTGTTTTGGTGGTGGCTCACCAAAACAGGTAAACCATCGAAAAACACAAAACTGGTTGTGTAAAAGTCGATAAGCAGTACCGTAGTACGCGAAAATCTATTTCATTTACTTATGCGGAATTCAGTAATGTGGTCACGATCAAACGTCCGACCTGAGTCGTCTTCACGTTGAGCCAGCACTTCATCTTGTCGACGGTGGCGCCATAGACGCACCTGTCGCCCAATCCACAAGCTCTTCACTTGTAAACTCAGCCAGCCACGTGCAGTTGCCAACCCTCCACTGTATGACAGCAGCATGACCGGTGAAACAGAGGAGTTGCCACGGACTCCCGTGAACCCTTTGGGGGATAGAGAAGGATCTCACAGTGGCGACAATGTCGCAATCAACAATAATTTGCAATCTCCAGTAGGCGCACGATCTGCCCCGCCATCCACACGGGCTGCAGACGGCGAGAATCGCAGCTCGTCCCCGTCCATGGGTCCACCCATGTCCGAGAGCGCCATGTCGTCTTCGGAGCTGCTGGGGCCACTTGGCGTCGAGCGCGACGGACTGGGTATAAAAGGATATCTAAGCATGCGTGACGAGGGTGTAACATACCACCGCATGAAGCGTTTCTACTGCCGCTGCGTGGGTGTCAACTTCTCTCGGTTCGCATCTCGAGACGCAGCGTCGGCGATGATTGCGGCACTGTTTAGCGCCGAGGTGCAAAAAGTGGAGTCGTGGGACGGCAAGGGCCTCTGGCACACATATCGCCACTCGTTCAAGCTGTCGCTCACGTCGGGCGTCGTGTTTAATGTGGACGCTGACTCCGAGGAGGACAAGCGTCAGTGGATCGAGTACATTGAGACGGCACTAACAGGAACGGAGGCAGCCGTCGAAAAGTGGAATGCCCATGCTTCAGTAAGCCCTAATATCATGGAACTCTCACCTGGAGGCCTCGTGTTCGCTGAGAAGAAATGTAGTCCGCCCAAGTTTAAGAACGACACGTCGTGCTGCCACCCAGGTTGCCATGTACGATTTGACAGCACTGGGAAGAGGCAGCATCACTGTCGGAATTGTGGAGGGTCGGTTTGCTCGGACCACAGCTCAAGGTTTGCCATGGTTCGACATTTTCACATCAATCACGCGGTACGTCTGTGCATGGGTTGCTATCGCGTGCAGCGCTTCGTGCTGTGGCTCGAAATGCTACTTCAGCGTCTCAGCATCTCCCAAACGGAGGAAGAAGGGGTTACAAAGCCTGCTCTGTCAAAAGCTGACGAAGAAGAAGTGGAGGCGTTGTTTGCAATCTTTGGAGATGATGCCTTTGGTATTTCGGACGTCATTCAGGTTCTTCATCTGCATCGTCACGGGTGCGATGAAGCGTATGCTTACGCCGTGAACAAGCTGTTGGAACTATCGGCCTCCAACCTGGCGGATTTTGAATTTTTTCTGCCTCAGATTTTCCACATGTGGCTAACGGTGGACTGGACGAACAACAATGTCAAAGCAGCTCTCCTATTCCGAGTAATCTGCTATGCGACTCAATTGCACATTCGTCTAGCGACAGCTATCTACTGGCTAACCCGTGCAGCAATTGACGACAGCTGTGGCTGGGGGTTCGGCCAGTCGGAATTGTACGTGCCCGACTTCCTGTACCGGAAGATGAGCATGTGCAAGTTATTGATGATTAACGTGGAGATGCAGATTTCCCACGGCGACTGGTCTTTTGAGACAGACAAGGACTTACCGGCTTCGACGGAGCAAACTGCCATCATCAAGTGCCTGTTCGATCGTCTGCTAATCCTTGTCCATACAAACACGAAGGCTACAATTCCGCTTGGTGCAGTTTGTGATGCCGTGAGTGGCTGTTCGATTCCTCAGGAATTCCTACTTCCGAGTGATGCACTTCTGGAAGATTCTCATCGCGATAATGAAGAAGAACGTCGGGTTTTTACCACTCAGATCCGATTCATCGAGGAGCTGTGTGCAATGACTGAAAGATTGAGATTCTGTGCTCCGCAAGAGCGTAAAAAAGCTTTAAGACAAGAACTTCAGGAGATTCAGCTGCCCGAAGGGGCGTTTTGCCCTCTAGGCTCGTGTGAGGATCCATTGCAGCGTCTCCTTACGATTGCAAAAGGAGAAGGCACGGTGTTCACGACGAGGGCTCGAGCGCCGACGCTCATTTTCTTCGAAGTGGCACGGCTGGCTACATCAAGCGAAAAGAACGGGTGGTTTAACCGTGGTCGATCACTGACATTCAGCATTCAACACAACAAGACCAACGATTCCGAAGAACTGATTGATGTTGACGGCCTTGAAGTGCTGGTTCCTGCTTCTGAAGCTGAAGTAGCGAAAAATGCCATTGAAATGGCCACAAGCAGCGAAATTGCTCAAGTGATTGCGATGGATACTTTTTCCGGTGTCGAGGATGAGCAAGTCAATGGTGACCGCACTGACGAACTCCATGGGCCAAGAGCCGATGTGATGAATCATCATCAGACAGCGATGATGATGATAGCGACAAGGAGGAATTAAGGGACCGCGTTTTATCAGACCCTCCACCGTCTTTGGTCGCTTTGGCTCGAGCTGTGGGTGGAAAGAAAAAGCGAAGTCGCCGTGGTCGGTCTGGCTCACTGATGAACACAACAACAAAGTCCCTGGACTCAATCATCGCGTCTTGCGCTGACACAATTAAGATTCGGAGAAAGCGCTCAATCAGCGAGGGTTCTGGCTTCATCGGACTTGAGAAAACGCAGAATACCAATCTGGGCGCCATGCCAAGTGAAGTAGAAAACTTCACAGATGATCAATTGATCTCCATGGCCCAGAACATGGAAATCAGCATGTTGGAAAGTAACCCCTCAGGACACGGCACTTTTACGGGCAAGCAGATCGTTGACTGGATGACAAAAAACGAGATCGTGTCCGACAAGGCTCACGCGCTGTGGCTAGGGAGTGAGCTTCTTCGCTGCGGTGCTCTAGAGAAGACACCGCTTTCATCCAAATCATTTAGTGGGTTTGCAGCTAACGATGAGACATCGTATCAGCTGAAGAGCGAGTCCAGTGCAGCTTCCCGATCCCTGGAGCGCCGTCACACTATGCAATACGATGCTGCGCCTGTGCTAGAGCCGTCACCTCGCTCACCACAAGAATCAATCTCGGGATCTACTGATCGGGGGAAACCTATGACTCGCACGTTGTCGCGTTTAACGTTGAAACCCCAAGAAACGACGGTGGACATTGCTGGTGTAACCGATGCTGTTGACGCCGATTTGACAGGAACGACTACCGATAGCGGCTCGAATTCATCCTCAAAGGCTTCAAGGCCACTGCGGGAGTACCTCGCAGGCGCCTCCGACGAACGACGTTCTATTGCTTCGAACGTCCACGGTGGCTCGTTCATTTTGAAGTTTGATCCTGTTGTGGCCGTTGCGGCGATGAACTCAGTGGAGCAGGCGGTGCAGCAGTATGTCCTACCGCAAGAAAGCGTAGCAAATGCTACCCAACTGAGTGAAGACCTTCGTGTACTCAAGGAGCAGCTAAGCATTGTATATGAATATGTCATCGACAAACGGAAGCGTCTTCATGTTGCGGTGGAGTCAGCGTTTGGAGAGAGCTTCGAAGAGAAGAAGGAGCGTTTGCGCGAGACGTCATCTCACGTCGTGCCATCAGAGGCGAACGACTGGGACTGCGTCGCGTTCATCGTGAAATCTAACGATGACTTGCGGCAAGAAGTTTTGTGCCAGCAGATCATTCGTCAGCTGCAAGATATCTTTCAGAGCGCAGACTTGCCTCTTCGGCTGCTGCCGTACGAGATTATTGCGACTTCGGCGTCTACCGGCATGATTGAGTACGTCAAAAACGCTGTCTCTCTTGACGCTTTAAAAAAGAGAGACAACTACACCACGTTGGCGGACCACTTCTTGAAAACGTATGGTCAGGCTGATTCTGCTGCGTACAAGACGGCAATGACGAACTTTGTACGGAGCATGGCAGCGTATTCTTTGGCGTGTTACTTCTTGCAAATAAAGGACCGACACAACGGCAACATCATGATCGACAGCGATGGCCACGTGATCCACATCGACTTTGGCTTTATCCTGGGCATTGCCCCTGGTGGTCGATTTAGTCTGGAGACAGCACCCTTCAAACTGACCGGCGAAATGGTTGACGCGATGGGTGGAACTCAGTCGGACTACTTCAAGGCCTACGTTATCTTCCTCATCCAGGGTTTTTTGGCTCTACAGGTACTTGTGTGTACATGGTCTAATAGTCTGTCCTGGATTGCATGCTCACTGTGTTGTGTGAATACTGTACAGCAACATGCCGATACCATTCTGATGATGATCGCGATTATGGCACAAGAGTCGTCGTGCCCTTGCTTCTTGTCCCAGAACCCGCGAGACGTATTGAGCGCCACGAAGCAGCTCTTCCGCCTCGACTACAACCAGAGACAGGTCATCAAGCATGTCATCAGTCTCGTCCGTCGCAGTCACAACAGCTATCGTACGCGCCAGTACGACGTTTTCCAGCGAATGACAAATGGTATTTTACCTTAAATGTCACGTGATGTGTGGTTCTACGAATAAAAACGAAAACACGAAAGTTCGATCATATCCGCGGTATGCCCCCCCCCCCCGGTTGGGTTTGCACTGGTACCCTTCCTCTACTCCGAGGTCACTTTACGAGCGCGGCCTCGAGGGCGAGACGTAGTCGTGCTAGTTTTGGTCTTCGCTTTCTTGGGGGAAAAGAACGGATTCTTGGACGACTTTTTCAGCTTCGCCACTGGCATGCTACCGAGCGAGAAGCGATTCCGCGAGAGGGTCGGCAGCAACACGCTATTGGATTCCTGTGCTGTAGCGAATGCGTTGGATAAAACGGGTAACGTTAGACGCTGACTTACTCGCCAAAATAAAAACCACACTCACTTTTCTGCGTAAGCTCCGATGAAAGCATATCCTGCGATTGCTCCAGTTCTTGCGATGTGTCTACTGTAGAGTCGTCGCTCATGTCATTTTTGTTTGATTCTGTTCCCTTCTTGACAACCACGGATGGAACCTCTTCTTCATCCGTATCTACAGTGCAAGACAACCCAGACAAGTAAGGTCATCGATCTATTGGTACCACAATATTGTAGCGAATCCTAACCGTTTTTGGTCAAATCAGCCAGAAGGCTCTGCGAGTAATCCAACTCCTCCTCGTCAGAGGACGAAGATGAGCTACTCTCAGCTGGGGTCGCTGCTACCTTCGGAGAGCGCTTTGCAGCTTTCACAACAACAGGGGGCACATCAGAGTCCGAGGATTCGCTGGCCGTGCTCTCCGATGACTTGGACGCTTCCTTTAAGTTCTCTTCCGTTTTACCCGCGCCGGCATCCTTTTCAACGAGCTTTTTCTGAGTCTTTCTCTCATTCGCAATTCGTTTCGTCGTTTCCGCCAAAATGGTTTGGAATCGCGTAGGCTCCTTCTTGGCTTCTTCCTGTGATTCCTGCTTGGTACTGCGAGCAGCAGTAGTTTTGGTAGCAGAAGGCTCTACCGCTTCCGTCTCCTCACCAGAAGCCAATTGTTCTTCCTGTGTTGACGAGCTGGAGGAGGAGCCTGAGTCATTCTTAGCTGTCGCAGTCTCCGTACTCTTGGCCTTTTTAGACGACTTAGCCACTGGTTTTGTCTTCTCGGTCTTAGTCGTCGTTGCTGCCTTGGGTGATGCCTCCTTCTTCGCACGCTTGGCCGCAGGTTTTTCAACGCCATCTGCTTCAGTGTTGATTTTCTTCTTTGACTTTCGGGTAGGAAGAGTCGACTCACTAGCAGTCGATAAGTCATCGTCGGCTTTCTCGGCTGATTTGGCAGCTACTTTCTTCTTTTTCGGCTTTGAACTCTCCGCAGGTATGGTAGGTTCAGCCTTCGTTGCCGTTTTGGCAGTTGATTTCTTTTTTGTAGCCTTTTGATCTACTTGTTTCTCTTCAGCCGGTTTAGGCGATTCAGCCGGCTTGGTCTCCGACTTTGCAGCAGACTTTTTCTTCTTGGCTGGGGGTTCCTGGACATCAGAAGCAGCTGCAGGGACATCATCCTTCTCGCTCGCTTTGCGCGTTTTATCGCTCTTCGACGGTGTTTTTGATGCCGCCTCGCCTTCCGTCTCCTGAAGAGAGTTTGCAATCACAGCAGCGCCCGATTCAGTTCCATTGTGCTTCGCTGCAAGCATTTTCTTGAGAAGAGCGTTCTCGCTTTTCTTTTGGGCGGCCTTCTTTGGAGCCTTTTTGGTGCTGGGATCTTCCTTCTCAGCATCGGGCTTAATCGACTCGTTCGTCTCCTGTTCCGTCTTCTTTACGCTCTTTGCCACCTTATTTTCAGCCGACTTTCCATCCTTCTCATCCGTTGAGGTAGTCGCCTTCTTCTCGATGGTTTCGTGTGCTGTAACCTTCTTCGCATTGGTGTTATCGTCCTTCTTCGCATCCTTCACAGCAGACTTCTTTGTGTCTTTCTTATCTTTAGCAGAGACTTTGGTGCTGTCCTTCCCACCATCCTTCTTCTCGTCATTTGAGGCCTTGGGAGCTGCCTTCGTCACGTCATCTGAAGCCTTTTTCTTGGGCCCCTGCTGCTTTTTCAGGGCAGTAGCCTTCTTTTGTGACTCCTTCTCCACAGATTTTTTCTTGCTGTCGTGGGCTTCCTTAACTACCGCCTTAGTGGTCTGAGCGGCAGTTTTGGCCGGCGTCTTGTGGGCTTCAGGCGCAATTTTCTTGGTTGGCGGTTGTTTCTTGGTCTTGTTAACCACAATATAAATCTGCTCCATGTTTGTGAACACATTGCCAGCCTGCACGTCCTTGGCCAGATCCACAAACACATGCGGTGCCTCTTTACGCACCTTGGCATGCGCACGGCGATCCACTACCAATTCAGGTGCCACACACTTCTGGATGCGTAGGTTGCGGCCGAGTGGCGGTAGGTGCGGGAACACGCGAGTGTACTCATCTACAATGAAAACCTCCAGGTCGGCGATGGTACGCAGGCGCGGCGTTTGCACCATCATTATACGGTCTTCCACAGGAAGCATGGCTAGCAGTACCATATCGCTCTCCATCGTTGTCAGCGCCATCGCAAAGGAGGAATGCACTGGTGGTGGCTCCGAAGGAGTCGTACCTAAACGAGTACGATACTAAAAAGTGTTTGGTACTTTACACACTTTTTAGTGTAGCCATACGTGCAATACACTCCTGGACACAATTATACGGCCACCTCGTCGAGTGCCCATAACTCAGTCATTTTTTATTATTTGACGGTGCGGTTTTCACACAAGTTGCAAAACATGCTTAAAAATAGCAAGGATGTGCTAACGCTCGCGGTTTTGCACTTTATAGGGAGGCTCACATACAAAAAAGAAAATTCAGGCTGGACACAATTTACGGCCACCATCGGCCCAATACTAAAACCTTTATAAAATAAAACATGTGTCATTTTGGCTGACTAGAAATTTGTATGTGCTGAGTTTCTGTGGGCGATTAAATGGACACTAGGGATCTAGAGCTCAAAGTAGTTGCATGGGGGTGTACACAATAGTATTATATGTAACGTGTTGCACTCGCACCTCTGCTTGATCGATATTGATGGAGAATTTTAAAATGTAAGATCGCGAATTTTTAGCTAGTGTCAACAGACCCATCCGCATTTTTTTACTATAGCAGATCATATGGAGAGCGGCCTGGAGACGTCGCGGATCCTTTCATTTTAAAAATTCTCCCATCAATATCGATCAAGCAGAGGTGCGAGTGCACACACGCTACTTATAATACGTTTTGTGTACACCCCCATGCAAGTACTTTGAGCTCTAGATCCCTAGTGTCCATTTAATCGCCCACAGAAACTCAGCACATACAAATTTCTAGTCAGCCAAAATGACACATGTTTTATTTATAAAGGTTTTAGTATTGGGCCGATGGTGGCCGTAAATTGTGTCCAGCCTGAATTTTCTTTTTTGTATGTGAGCCTCCCTATAAAGTGCAAAACCGCGAGCGTTAGCACATCCTTGCTATTTATAAGCATGTTTCGCAACTTGTGTGAAAACCGCACCGTCAAATAATAAAAAATGACTGAGTTATGGGCACTCGACGAGGTGGCCGTATAATTGTGTCCAGGAGTGTAGTACAATGTACCCTGTAATGGTACAGTTCTGGATTGTGCTTCCTCCGTAGTAATAATAAGCGCGGTATCACGATAAAGAGGATAGCTTAAAGTACGTTTTTTTGTGAGGAAGCAGGCGTCACGCATCTACAGATCATACTTCTCTGGCGTGATAAGCAAGAGAAAGGAGCAAAATGGTCATACAGGGGCTTGAACCCTGGACCGCAGCGTTATTAGCACTGTGCTCTACCGACTGAGCTATACGACCGCCAATCGCACACAACACACACAACACACACAGAAAACAAAATACCGCCCTCATCACAAAACGACTGTATACACACGCACGCACGCTGCACCACGCGCTTCTGCGCACCTTCGCGCTGCTCTACCACCTCGGCCTCGCCGGTCCGCCCACTTCCCATCCAACTCTCACTTACAACCAACCCAACGTCGAACATCCCACAGAGCTTGTCGCCGTACAAACTATCCCACGGGGTGGCACACACACACACACAGGCTCGGACACCTCATCTTGGCGCTCCGGGAAATCTTGCAGCCAGGACCGATACTCGAGTCCGTTGGTCGGAGTCGAGCCGCCGAGGCAGTTCCGAGTCGGTGTTTGCCACGCCCGTTGTAGGTGACATGGAGGTTCGGTTGAGTGCGTAAGAGGTCTGGAGCAGACGCAATAACACGCCAGAAGCGTGAGAAGCCGCGAAGGGCCGTTGTTAGCGCCGCGTGATAAGCAAGAGAAAGAAGCAAAATGGTCATACAGGGGCTCGAACCCTGAACCGCAGCGTTATTGTCCGTTTAAAGATGATGATTGGGTTTTTTTATCGCACATAACTGAATAATATATTTTTATTGGATAAAGCGGGATTCTGGTTTTGCATGGCTGCGCGCCACTAAAACTATGGTTGGCCTAGAGTAAAGTCAACCCCGCATTTTGGTTTTTAACACGATGCCCAGAACCCCTGGGAAACAAGACATTGCACCTGAAACTCGCCTCAATGTGGTTGTTTTCCGTGCTGACGGAGCTTCCACGGTAAACTGCTCCGTGGAGCAGTTTGTGCAGCTATGGAGGCTATTGATATGTGTCGCAACAGCGTAAAGAAGATCTGGAAGTCGCTCCAAAAGGTTAGCTTTATATCCGTCCAGAAGCGAGTGCAACCCAAGCGCGGAAGGCGCCTTTCCGTGCAAGAAGTTATGGAGCTCGTCCAAGGGGTGCCGCTTTGCCAGAAGCAAACCCAGCGAGCACTGGCGGCTGCATCTGGTATACCACGCACTACGGTATCTTGCTGATGGGACTCTACGTCGCGTATCTTCTCGTGTTAAACCTACTCTGACTGATGCTCACAAGACAAAACGACTACAATAGGTTTTATCGCATGTCGAGATGGCATTAGATACTGTAACATCTCGAAACGTATTGTTACTCAACGTTTTAATTGTTATAGTTTTTAATTATCTTGTTCATATTGTTTTGGCTCAGGTGCCCGAATGTACCGCATGCATCACATGTACAATACTGTGCATGTAGATGAAAAGGGGTTTAACCTCTACAAAGGGGCCACAAGATATTACCTGACAGCCAATGAGCAGCTGCCTTATCGATCCTGTGCAAACAAGAGATACATAGGAAAAATCATGTTCTTAGCTGCTGATGCGCGTCCTCGCCACGACTTTCACAAGAAACAGTACTTTGATGGTAAGATTGGCATTTGGCCTATTGTTAAAAAGGTCGAGGCGGTTCGTAGCTTCGTTAATCGTCCTAAAGGTACGCTAATCACGAAGAGTGTGTCTATGACACGAGCTAACTACATGTACTTGTCCAAAACGTATTTCCAGCAATTCGATCCAAACTACCAGGTATTTTTTTCAAATGTTATTTTGCATTGTTGCAACTCAATTGTTTTGCTTGTTTTTAGCTGCAGAGGCTCGACCGTGGTCGTCCAGCAGGACAATGCAGGGCCTCACGTTTTAGAAGGTGATGCTCAACTCAAACATGCTGGTATGGTTGATGGCTGGAAGATATAGATGCGCTGTCAGCCGCCTCGGTCACCCGACCTAAATTACTTGAACTGGAATACTTCTCGTCTATTCAAGCTCTACAGTATCAAAAAGCTGCCTACGACTCTGACAGCCTTATTTCGGAGGTTGAGGAAGCTTTCGACGAGCTCAGGTGGCAAACACTTGACAAGTGTTTTATAACTTTGCAGAAAGTGATGGAGTCTATAATGGTTAGTGGTGGAGGTAACGATTTCAAGATTCCGCGCGTTAGTAAACATATTGGACGTTATGCCCGAATGCCAATGTCGGTTGCAGTCGACACCGATGCGGTTACGAAAGGATACAGCCAGCTTTATGCCTAAACTCAAGATTTATTGAAGCTTTTATGCTCGTAATTATCATTATAATTTTTGGGCTATCACTGATTGGTCTATATAAATAGTTGGTTCACACAAATGCTCTCGACTTTCCAAATAGACCTCGCCCCAAACACATCGAATTCGCGGTGCTTCTAGTATGTCCCTGCGTCTGAAGCTGCGTCCAACTGTTGTTAATTGCCAGTTTAGCTGCTCTCAAAGTACGGTGTAATATCGCTAAATTTTGACTGAATTGCGACAAAAAAACTAATGCCTTTCTGAACGCAGCGGTTTTGATCGCAGCGTGCACGCGCATATTTACCATTCTTACAACCAAAAAAATATGTTCCTGTGCGCCGTACTCCGGGCTATGACGTGGTGTGCCTTGCGTCTACCAGCTAGCTCTTGTTCAAAAGTTTTTTTTTTTTCAAAACTGAAATCGTGGGCCGGACAAGCATATCTTTGTTAAAGCCTCCTTTGCAACATAGAAATAAAAAATTGGGGTAGTACTAGAGAATTGGGCTGGTAATGCACCTTTTGAACTCTACGAAATCTACAACTGACTTTAATTTTGGATCGCTATAATGGACTTCTTTTTGTTCTTACTATAAACGCAGCACTTTTAACCCTTTCCCGTTTAAAATCAAATACACCGTTCTCTCTAATTAGTCGTGTCATCACTAATAATGGTGATGAACGATGAAGTCTGACAAATAGGCATGATTATTTTAGGTGCACGACTATATAAGGGGCATGACTAATGATGGTGAAATCGACTGTCTATTTTAGGGACTGCTATACAGTCGCAAAGGCTGCGCACTCTTCGTAGCCTTTATCAAACTCAGCACGATACTTTTCTACAAACTCTCGCAAAGGCTTGCTGAGTTGCTTAACCTGCCACGTACCATCACTATCTACGTCTAAGCCGCACAGTATCATCGACTTCTTAGCCCAGTTTATTCCCTCCTTGTCCATCTCTGCATTTACTAGACGGACACTTTCTGCTGCAGTATCTAAAAAAAAACTTTTTACCGGGGCTTGCAAGAGACCCCGACGACTTGGCACCCTGCATCCAATCGCCACGCAAAATTGCTTCCATGTTTCTTTTCTCACACAACCGCCGCCAGTGCACTTTGACCCTCTGTATAGGGAACCGGTCGGTTGGCTGGACGAAGTCTGTAGAGTTAGGAGGGAAGAAGCGGATGCGAGTCTTGAGCTCCTTTCCAGATGACGCAATGTCGTCACCTGCGTGCCCACTTGCATTGTCCATGCACAGCACACACTCTTGCCCAAAATGCCCTGAGGGGCCCCAGCAGCGAACGTCCTTCAGCCACTCGTGCATCAGTTTGTTGTTGATAAAGGCGCTGGGCGACGAGCGGTATGCAACCCCTTTAACAGTGTCCGATAAGCCTTGGATAGGGTAGCTTGAGTTGGCATTCTTGAATATTAGCATCGGAGATAGCAGCTTGGCGTCTCTACCTCCATTTAATAACACGCACATTGTAATTCCTTCTCGACTAACTTACATAAGTTAATTTTTGTCAGTAGAGTGTATTGGTGCAGTAAAAAGAAATTGCTGGTTTAAAAATTGCAAAATATGGTACCTGATACA